CGGGAGACAATCCAGGCTTCCATGGGCGCTTGTCCCGGTCATGGGAGGAGGAGAGCAGCCGTCGCCGCCGGACCGGCCTGGTGTCCTGCTTAGGCTCAGATCTGGGAGGCCCGAGTTCGAATCCCCATTCCGAAGCCAGCAGCCTGTCTCATTCAGCAGCCAAGAAGTTGCCCTGGAGGGCACAGAGGCCGAGGCCTTCCCCTGACGTTGCCTCCCAGCTCTGGGATTCACAGGTTGACTGCCACTGAATTTGGAGGTTCCCTTTCCTCACAATGACCAGGAATCCGTCTACCCTCCCAGTGGGCCACTATCACCCGGGCAGCCTGTGCTGGGGGGCCCTGGAGGGAGGAGCCCCAGCCCCCCCCCCAGCCTGCTCCCGGGCTTCTTAAAACACACGAGGCCACCCCCCTTCTCCTATAGCCACCCTCAGTCTGCCAGATTCTAATGGGGGACGGGACCCACAAGTCCACCCAAGTTACCATTTGCCTGGTTTCCTGACACTGTTCCCTCTCAGCTGAGTCAGTGTGAGCCAGCTCACAGTTCTTTAGCCTCCAGCTCACACATTTTTGCCTTGGCTCAGGAAGGATGGGGCTCCAGAGCAAACTGATTTAGGCAGCAGCCCAATCGCTCGCTCACAGCTTTAATGCCAGGAGCTCACAAAGTAGGATTTTTGCTCACAGGACTCCGCAGCTTAGCGGGATCATTGGTGTGGGGATGCGTGCACACAGGCCAAGCATCTGTTGTCTTGCTCAGTCACTTCAGAGAGTCCCGATGTTGTGAGGTAGACTGCCTCTGAACATGGGATTTCCGTTGAGCTGTTGTGGCAGTCTAGACACCCCCATTCCACAAACATCTCTCATCCAAAGCCACCTGAGCTGGTGTCCATTGCGAGCTCCACACACTATTTATTGGACTGTGTGGGTACCTTGCCTTTCTGCCCAGTGGGGACCCAAAGCACCTTCCCTCAGCCTCCATTTTATTCTCACAACCACCCTGTGAGGTAGGCTAGGCTGGGAGTGTGTGTGTGTGCGTGTGTGTGTGCGTGTGTGTGCCTGGCGCAAGGTCACCCAGCCAGCTTCCGTGGCAGGTCAGGGATTTGCACTCAAGTCTCCCTCATCCTAGTCGGACTCTCTAACCACCCCACCAGGGCTGGCTCTCTGTGGTTCTGTCGGGGACAGCTGAGGTTGCCCTTCACACTTCTGGGGGAGTCATTCTGTTTTTCACTCCCCACCCCCGAGATGCTTTTGCCTGTCTGTCAGCAGGGCCCGGCACTGGCAGACTCCGGCCCCCGGGGCTTCTGTCCCAGCCGGACTGACCCCCCTGTTTGTCCCTCTGCAACAAGACAGCCACCCCACTGGAATCCGTGGGTTTTGCTCTGGCCTGTCTGGACTCACTCCCTTGAGGCCGGGCGTGCCGACGGGGTCTAGTCCATCGCTCGTGTGGGAGAGGGAAGAGACGTTATCTCTGCCTACAACCAGTGTTCCCTCTAAGCTGTGGAGTCTTGTGAGCAAAAATTCTACTTTGTGAGCTACTGGCATTACAGTTGTGAGTGAGCAATTTGGCTCCTGCATAAATTCGTTTGCTCTGGAGTCCTCCTTCCTGAGCTAAGACAAAAATGTGTGAGCCGGAGGCTAAAAAACGGTGAGCTAACTCACACTAACTCAGCTTAGAGGGAACACTGCCTACAACATGGATTTGGTCTGACTTCTGTCATCCCCAATCTCATAGCCAGGATTTTTGGGGGGGCTGGCTTTAAATAAGTCGGGGGAGCACCCTGCACAGACACCCCCACAACCAAGGCTCCCTCTAAGCTGTGGAGTCTTGTGAGCAAAAATTCTACTTTGTGAGCTGCTGGCATTAAAAGTTGTGAGCGAGTGATTTGGCTGCTGCATAAATCAGTTTGCTCTTCTGGAGCCCCATCCTTCCTGAGCGAAGACAACAATGTGTGAGCTGGAGGCTCAAAAACTGTGAGCTTGCTCACAGTAACTCAGCTTAGAGGGAACACTGTCCATAACTCCCCAAGGGAGCGCCACAAATAAAAAATTGGAAGTCAGGCCTGGACTGGAGGGAAAGTCGGGGGTGGGGGGCTTGCTAGTAAGTTGGGGGCCCCCTGAAATGCCCCACTGTCGCTACAGGCCTCTCTCTCCGCCCCACCCCCCCCCCGCTTCCCTGAACGAGGCAGTCCCTAAAGTCTGTCTGCCTGGGCCCCTGCTTTGACCACTCAACAGACACCCCCCCCCCCCCTTGGTCCCTATAAAAACCCACTCCCTACACTGGTTGCCATGTTGGTTTGAAGCAGTAGAGCAAAGTTTGAGTCTGGGGCACCTTGAAGGCCAACAAAGTTTAATTCTGGGTAGAAGCTTCCGTGTGCACGCTATGCTACTGTGTGAGCTATGCGTGCACACGGAAGCTTCCACCCAGAATTAAACTTTGTTGGCCTTCAAGGTGCATCCGGACTCAGCCCTGGTTGGTGTAGTGGTTTAGAGCCAGTTTGGTGTAGTGGTTACGTGCGCGGACTCTAATCTGGGAGAACCGGGTTTGATTCCCCACTCCTCCTCCACTTGCACCTGGCTGGATGACCTTGGGCAAGCTGTAGTTGTGACAAGAGCTGTTCTTGCAAAAGAGCAGTTTCTGTCAGAGCTCTCTCAGCCCCACCTACCTCACAGGGTGTCTGTTGTGGGGAGGGGAAGGGAAAGGAGTTTGTCAGCCGCTCTGAGACTCCCTTGGGTAGTGAAGGGCAGGGGTATGAATCCAATCTCTTCTTCTTCCTCCGCTTGCAGCTGCTGGATGACCTTGGGCAAGCCGTAGTTCTGATAAGAGCTGTTCTTGAAAAAGAGCAGTTGCTGTCAGAGCTCTCTCAGCCCCGCCTACCCCACAGGGTGCCTGTCTGTTGTGGGGAGGGGAAGGGAAAGGAGTTTGTAAGCCGCTCTGAGACTCCCTTGGGTAGTGAAGGGTGGGGTATAAATCCAATTTCTTCTTCTTCCTCCGCTTACAGCTGCTGGATGACCTTAGGCAAGCCGTAGTTCTGACAAGAGCTGTTTTTGAAAAAAAGAGCCATTTCTGTCAGAGCTCTCTCAGCCCCACCTGCCTCACAGGGCGTCTGTTGTGGGGAAGGGAAGGGAAAGGAGTTTGTGAGCCGCTCTGAGACTCCTTTGGGTAGTGAAGGGCTGTGGGGTATACATCCAATCTCTTCTTCTTCTTCACTTACATCCGAGTTGCGTTTGGTTCCCTGCAAAGGTGAAAAGGCGTGGGAGAGGAAGGGATCCACCCTTCCTGCCTATCAACACCCTTGCCAGGCCCCAAGTATCTCTGAATAAGAAAGAGGCCCCCTTGTCCCAAGAAGATGAAATCAAGGCCTCGCCTTTCTCCTCCTCTCACCCTTGCCCGGCCAGCCTCTCCAATTCGGGCCCCGCCCCGGCTTCAGGGGGCCCCCACACACACACACTAATGAGATTCAGCCAGAAATGGCTGGTAGCCTCTTAAACCTGCAAGCCAGCCAGAAGCCCACCCTATCAGGAGGCCCTTTGCAGAAGGGGAGGGTTGTGGCTCATCAGAACACAGACGGGGGGGCCTCGGGCGGGACCGGAGCTCCACCCCTGGTAGGCCTGGACAAGGGGACGGACCCCTGCCCCGGTTCCCCATCAGCAGAGGGGAGGGAGGGAAGGCTGAAAGGTGTCTTCAGG